ATTTTATGTTTGTTATTAGAAACGAAGTTTTGTCTTTATTAACTAGATGAATTAATGATTAATAAACGTTATTGTAAGTGTTCACCATTGGCCTGAAACTCTATTTCTTTAGACTAACTGTAAACTACCTCTAGTTAGCGATTTGTGGCTCCACTCGTAGTTTTAATTGAAACTCCAACAATTAAGCCCATCTGGGCACTACTCATTACAATACACTGTACTGACATTGTTACTGTCTGTCAATCTTTGCAACAGCATCAAGGTTTTAAATATGTATTATCTTCCAGTGTACATACACTTAACTAACTTGACTACAGTCTATCAATCTGTGAAAAAGTATGTACACAGTATCTTCCAATGTATATACATTGTAATTACACTACTAATCTATGAAAAAACATCATGTAGGTAAGGACACAGTTTCTTCTAGTTATATATATGACATACCAAATTCACTACAGTTTATCAATTCGTGGAACTGTATGTATTTAAAGACAGAGTATCATCCAGGGTATATACTTTGTCCTAAAATCACTACATCAATCTGTGGACGAGCATCATGTACTTGAGGGCACAGTATCCTGATGTTTATATGTACTGTTATTAACATCACTAGTCTATCAATCTGTGGAAGAGCATGTACACAGTATCTTCTAGTGTATATAAACTATAGTAACATCACTACAGTCTGTGGAACAGCATCGAGTATTTAAGTACATAGTATCTTCCAGTGTATATACACTGAATCAACATCACTATAGTCTATCAATTTATGAAACAGCATCATATATTTAAGGACACAGTATTTGCCTGTGCACTGTCCAAGCATCACAATAACCTATCAATTTGTATTACAACAGCATCATGTGTTTAAGGACAGTATCTTTTGGAATATAACATCACTGCAGTCTATCAACGAATAGATTACCATCATGTATTTATGGGCACAGTGTCTTCTGGTGTATATACACTATACTGGCACCACTACTGTCCATCAATCTGTGGAACAGCATCATGTACTTCAGGGCACAGTATCTTTCAGTGTATATATACACTGTACTAATATCACTACATTGTATCACTTTGTAGATCAGTACCATGTATTTAACTACATAGTCTCTTCTGATGTATACACACTGTAATACTATCACTAGCCTATCAATTGCTGAAACAGCATCATGTATTTTATAATACAATTTCTTCAAATTCTATAGACAACAAACCAAGTTTACTACAGTCTATAAACTGGTGGAAATACATGTATTTAACTTCAAAGTATCTTCCAGTGTATATATATTGTACTAGCACCAGTAGTCTATAACTGTGGAACAGCATCATGTAGTTGAAGACACAGTATCTTCCAGTTTATTTACACTGCACTAACATCAATACAGTCTATCAACCTGTGGAAAATAATTGTTTATTTAACTACACAGCTTCTTTCAGTGTATATACACTGTAACAACACCATTATAGTTTATCAAGTTGAGAAGCATTTAACTTAGATATACAGTTATTTATTTTATAAGTTTGGAAATGGAATTTTTCACCTGTAACAAACTATAAAGACAAAACTTAAGATAGGAATAAAATTAATGGTCATTACTATACGTGAAGATTAAATACAACAATAATGTAAAAGTAGAAAAAGAAACTCTCTCGCGTACAGTTTAGTATTTGATGTTGGACAAAAAGCAGTTAAAATGATGTTAACCAAAATATTAAGAATCTTGAATATTTAGTCTAGAGAATGTTAATATCAATATATACTATGTCTAGGACTGATATACAGATACACTATGATAAATGATGGGTAAATTTATCTTGAAACTTTGAAGACCAGGATATTTATTGAATTTTAAAAATTAAATAAAAACCTGCATATTTTATATGTGATGAACTTATGTACAGTATAAATATCTGAAAAATAATGCAAGTATCAAGAAAATGGCACTTATAAACTTGATAACTATCTTTATAAACTTTGACTTAGAAACTGTGTTTTGGCTCAAAATAAAATAGCTGAAAACAAGCCACATTCATGAAAAATGTTTTAATTTAAAAACAGAAAAGATAAATAAATAAAGAGTTTACTAATAAACCGAGTATTTTAAAATGCTTCAGAATAATTTTTATTTTGCTGATCAACAAAAATTTATTAGAAACTCTGAAAAATTAATAGTAAATACACTCACTGAATACATGCCTGTAATAATTTGATAAGTATTTATTTAGATCCAAAACATGGCTTACTTTCTGTTTATAATTTATATACAACAGTTTGTTTGTATCAGTTGAAACTGTATAAAAAGTCAAAACACAAAGAACATTATGTACAAAAACAAATAATAACTTAGAAGAATTGTTATGTAAAGAGTAATTATTTATAAGGGTTAACCTTTTCACAGTGAATGGGTTAAATTAAGAAATTTAACCTGCTCCAAGTAGCTTAAACATGCAAGTGAAGATTTTCACCAATTCTCATTACATCTTGTATATACCAACTTCATAAAGACCTGAAACTTTACTTTTTAACAAACCACAGGTGGATAGGCTTTTTACTCTATCTACTAAATAGTGACATTTCATTTTTCATCAAGCCTTAAAAGGCAGGTTATTTCAAGTTCTTCAATGACCAAAAATTTTGTGAATAAATTATTCAAACTAAAACTATGTTAAACTAATTTTAAATCAATTAATATCTCTAATAACATTTCAGAACATTTTAGCACTTCTAATGTCTTTAGCAGATTCTATTTTTTAAACACAATGGATGTTGTAGTTCAGAAAAACACAGTAACAAGAAGAGTATACTATAGGTTGACACAAACCATTTTAGCACCTAGTTTAAGACAATTTAAGAATGGACTAGAAATATTATAGCTTTTAATATAAAAGAAAACATTTAATAAGTAACAGACACATACATATATATCTTGCTTATGGTAAAAAAATCTCAAAAGAAAAACTTCACAATCTTATACATAATTTGTTTTTATACAGGTATTTAAAAACATGGCTAGAGGTAGATATACATCATAACAGAACACAGCTCAAATGTAATAGATTATATGTTAACTTTTAATTTTCAATGTTATCCCAAAATCAGAACAAACATTAATTGAAAATTATGAGAATTTAAAGTAGCAGACTGACAAGTTAAAAAGACTTGATTCACTTGCATTTAATATCATTTTTATAATAATAATACTCTAAAAGAAAGATTGTAAGTTACACTTTTCTATATATTCATATAGTGCATCTTTTATGAAACTGGTGATAGAGGCATGGATAAACATTTTCTGAATACATGTGTATGTCAAGCACACATTCATATATCAAACTGCTAAGTTATCAACAAAGTACGCCTTTCATCTTAGTCATCTAATAGTATATTATGGCAGTGTTGCTAAGTATTGGGGGCTAAAAGCATTAATACAAAATCATGGGTGTAGAACTTTTTTTAAAAGAATAACATCCTTATTCAAGAAACAAGATGCTAAAACCTACTTGCTCTTCTTACAAAAGTTTTCCCCCACCTCCATCCTACAAAACACACACAAAAAAGTACAATATTTACTTTAAGATTTGGCTTTTATTTAGTAGTGTACACAATCAATACAGTGCCATTGGTAGGTCAATTTCTTGGGAGTAGTGTATACTACATTTTTTATCTAAACTTTTCATATATATATATTTATTCATGAATTTCATTGTTTTTAATATTTAGGTATCAGGATCTTACACCTCAGCATATAGAATACTACATTCATGAACTGATAAAGAAATCTTGCGTACATTAGTGCTGCCACCTTGAGCTGGCAATCAAACTTTACTGGGGTCCTAGTGTAGAGAAAAGCAAGTTAATACTATTATTGCATTATTTTAAATATTTGTTACTATGTATGTGATGAAAGGTTTGTGAATTAAAGAGATACGAGTATTTGTGTATATAGTTCTAATTTGGGACTTAGAAGTATTCATTTTTACAGGTTAGTGTATATATGATAGCTTTCTACAGTTCAGAAACTTATGTGGCTCCCTAAAAGTCTACCTCAAGTTTTTTTAGCAACTGATCGAATAATGTAGAAAAGAACTTGACCAATGGGCAAAGTACAATAGTAAAACCCTGTTGTTCTAGGCATCAAACGATGTGGATTCCACAAAACTGCAGACGAACATGAAAGTTACTTTCAAGTTTGAATGCCTTCTCATTTTGATAGAACTTAACAGAAAAATTCTACATGTGAAAGCTGCAGGCAAGTAAATTTACTACCCAGCAACTCACCGGTAAAGTTCAACACAGACAAGCATCCAAGACTTTAACATCAGTCAATAACCTGACACAATTGTAATAGAACATTACACAACTTGTATACAAAAACAATAGCTGTTACCAAAGTGATATAGTTTTCTTTGAAGAAGCTGTGATTGTCACGGTGAACATCTTTATAATAACTGGATAAAAAACGTTTGTCTTTCAAAACATCTAATGAATACCAGTGTATCATAAAATCTATAACTTAGCTTTTTAAAGTACACTCCAACTGCATGTTATCACTCAATATCCATGTGATGAAATAAAAATCCAATTTTTAAACTGTACTGCTATAACTTGTAACAACTAGAGTGCACATTACAGGAGTAATAGAACTGTCTAATACCTAGGATCTCCTCCATCAACATTAAATGTGTAGAATCCATGTCATAGCACATTGTTGCTCATGCCAAGGTAGAATTTCAGATTCAATCCCAAGACAAATGCCTTAACCAGATTCAGCTTATTTACAAATTGGTTAACTTCTTGTCAATCCTATTAATCTTTATTGCTGATATTAATCAAGAGGACCCCTAAAAGAAGTCACCTTCTAATTGGAAACTCTTAACTTTCATGGTAACTATATTAAAACTATTTAAAGAAGCAAAAGTGATAATGATTACATATTTTCCTGCTCTACTTCTAGTTCACGGTGGTAAAAGAAATTATACTGAGAACAATTTTATATATCTAATGTTTAATGCTATTCTGCATACGTGCACGTGATATGGAATAACAACGCTTGTAAAAATTCACAGGTCAGTGGAAAACAAACTGAGGTTTTCTTTCCACCAAAATAACTACTTTGTAATATGAGCTATTTCCAGACAGATGTTCTCTGTCTAAGAGCAAAGGACAAAAATCTGAAAGTGTAAGGACATGTTGGCTTGAACTATAACCAGACACAAAAACATATTTTCAACTGTGAACAATATGCATATATTTCTGTAAAACTCAATAGTCCAAAAGTAAATATTCAAGACTAGAGTAGTTCACAAGTATGTATTAAACATTCAAAATAAATGTGTTCACTCTCTGTACATCTACTTCAATATTGCTATAGATGTGTTCACATACATCCTAAAACAAGGTCTAGGTCTAAAACTTTAATAGATATACTTCAATTAAACAAAATAACAATGTGTTGTATGTTTAAAAAAAAAAGACCTTTAACATGAGTTTCTGGTACAGTAAGAATCAATTGAAGTATTAAACACATCAGAATTTTTTTGGCACAATTATATCACAGTTCTTCAAAGTTAGCCTTCACTCAAAAGACAACTCAATCTTTCTGCCACCGAAGCCCTTTTTGCAATCTTTTCAACATACTTAATGATGTGGTCTCTCTTCAAATCAATAGATAACACCTAAAATACAAAAAAGTATTAAGAATCTGTTAGAAAGTCATCCAACAAAACATTAAATATGAACAGTGAAAGAAATTTGTTTTGTTGTTGCTAACACAAACAAGATGGAATCCTCAATAGCCACGGCACTTGAAATTCTCTTAGGCAGGGTTAGAGTAAATTAAATCTACGAGACCTTTATTTCCTTTTTATTAGCTATATTTTTGTGCACCACCAGTACCAATCGTAGGGTGTGCATATACCCGATTCAATTTCATTACTCATCATGACCTCTGCCGGCCTACCCTCAAATTGAAATTATTTTAGGTAGGAGTAGAGTAAATTAATGTATGAGACCTAGGGCACGATCAAACATATCAATCAAAAGGGTTTGACCTCCTGAGTCCAAAACTGTAACTAGATCTCAAATCGGTCAAGAGATGACAGAGCTATGAGCTTAAACTCCGTATTTGGAATAAAAAAACTCTGAGCCACAGCTAGAAACTACAATAAGTAAAACAATTAATCTATTATTTTAATTTTTTCTTTCAACCAAACCCACAATATAAAAATAATTAATAAATAAGCTCTCAGCAATAATTAGAAATCCATTAACACAATATTTCATTTAAAATAACGAAATAGGATGCTAATGAAAAAGAGGTAGCTTGTGTTAAAATAAAAAGAAATGCTACTGCCATGCCTATAAAGCTTCTTAAAAGACAAATCCAAAATATTATAGTATTTCTAGTATAATTTTATAAGGTACAGTATGAGTTTTCAGAATATGTGAACATACAAATTTCAAATCACATCTCCTAAATTATGACAAATTTTATAAATCTAAACCAACAGATCAATGACCAGATTAGCAAAGGAAAGTTTGTGCAATACTTGGCATTGAAAAAATTCAGTTCTGCACATTTACATTCAATATATTTTCTAAAAATATATTTTTTTTTTCTTTTAATAATTCTAATTTTCACAGTATATATTTCTCAAAATCATTCACCAAAAGTTTATATTTTTCACCTTTTGTTTATACCTTGGAATGAGTGAACAAGAATGAACAAGCTTTGTGTGTATAAAGAATGAACAAGGCATGTGTGTATCTTGTATGAATGAACAAGAACAAATAAACTTTGTATCTTATTATCAATGAACGAAAACAAAAAGTTTTGTATGTTGGTACAAGTGAACACAAATGAACAACAAACCTGTCCATTTCTTGCTATAGCCAGAATTCCTTGGGTATCTTGTTTCAAGACAGCAGAGAAAACAATGTCTGGGCAGATAACCTGAGTATACAGTGGAGCCACAGTCTCCAAGTCGAATAGGTAGATACTCCCAAACTTTGTAGTTACATACACAAGGCCAAGGTGGCTGCTTACCTAAGAGATATTGTTTCTTAACAGTTAACATTATTTTTTTAGTCTCTATACCTTGTTACAACTTAAAATGCTTGCATATAATCACTTACATGTAATACAATCAGATTTTACAGCAAAGTCCTGTCAGGTCTCCCAGTGGATCACTGAAAAAACAAGTTTTTTTTTTAAGGTTTCATTTCGTAAAAAGATAGTTAACTATATATATAAACTAGCAGAAACACCACCCTGTGGGTGCCTGTTCAGTCAGGATCTTGGCAAGCTGAACAGTGTACTTCTGTCACGAAATTGCTTCCGACTTCTTCTCACCAGATCTTGCCTCATAACTTGATGAGCAAGCCTATATCTTTCTTTCTGTAACTTTCATCTTGATGTTTCATTTCCTTTCAAAAAGTTTGAGACTTTCTCCATGATAAGTCACTTTTCTGTTTGGCAATTTTTGGCATCGTGATTTTCTATGTTTTTCATCACTTTATACTCATATTGAAGTGAAAAAATAACATTTGTAACTTACAAAGATGGAGTTACTACAAAATTTTTGCAAATTTATATGCAATGAACACCATATAAAGGAAAAGGACTTGCGATTCCTTTGGCTGCAGAATAATTCAATGTAAAGGGTTCACGTGCTTGGATTCTTCAGCAGAAAATGTCACTTTTCTTCTGAAATATGACAATCATTTGCCTCTAAGAAGACCCACTTTGAAATTCTGCATTAAAATCACTTTACTATCTATAAGTATAAGTATATAAGTCCTCTTCGTTATATCACTGAGATGGTGAAATCTTTGATACTGACCCGTAACTTAGCAAGTCTCTTCAGCAAATCATTGAGCCGTTGAAGTCTTTGCTTTTAACTTGTAATTTAGCAGCTTACTTAAGCCTCCTTCAGTACATCAATGAGTTTTTAAAATTTTTATTAAAAACTTAATTTTGTTGATAATAATAAATGTACAAAATTAATGTACATTATTAAAAAGGAAAGAAGTACCATTTCTCCATAAAGGAAGTGATTTAGGAAAAAAAAGTTATAAATAGGATCATATTATTTTTTTATTTTAGTGAGGGTCTATTTTATAACATTTTTCATTTTGGTGTGACATAAAGCTATTATTTACTTATTTTTAAAAAAAAGGACCCACCTTTTTTTATAAGAGAACCAATTATAATGAAAATTTTTAGAAACTTAAGATGTTGAAAAGTTTCATCCAAATTAGACTTAAACCGTGGGAGGTGTTTTGCAGACAGATGGACATTAACTTCTTATATAAATAATTAATATTTTAGTAATACCAAAGGTGAGTTTCTATACCCATCTGTAAAATGTTCAAGAAGAAATTCATGATATTGTGTGTGATGACAGAGATTTTACCAGTTTTATTCCAATAATGCTGACAATGAAGTCTGAATTATTTCTACATATCAGGATTTCTGTACGATAATTATGATAATATCATTAACACAGAATAAAAAACTTTTGGCAATGTTTTGTGGTTAAAAATATTCAATTTTAAAAGTTTTAATCATTAATTCATAAGCTTGATCAAATTAACTGACTCTTAGATCTGTGAAGCTATACATATCAATTCTTACTGTAACTCTGAGTTTACTAAGTGTGTTCACAAAATCTGGCAAGCTTTTAGTAAACACCAAGTATGTTATACACAAACAAAAATCAAATTTTTAATAAAGTATTTCTTCTAAAGATTTGTCCTGTATATTTCCAAACTGTTTTAATGAATAAGTTTAAGTGAAAAGCAGTTTTTATGATAAGAATAAAATTACTTCTTTCCACCTTACATTTTTCATATTTCATTTGCATAGCCTATAGAAACCTTTTTAAATGAATATCAAGTTATTCTGGTAAAACTTTGTTTTATCTGTTATTTTCTCTAGACTAACACTAACTGTAAAAAAAAATCATAAATGTACCTATTCTTTCACAAAAGGGTCATATTGGTTGAATGTATTATATATTAAACTTTTAAGTTATCATATTGATGATATTAAGTGAAGCCTGGGAAGTATTACAAGCTGTACTTTTTCAAATTAATCATTGTGTGAAAGTTAGAAAGTATTACAAGCACTGCTTTCAAAGGATCATATTGAGTGAAGGTTACAAAGTATTACAAGATGTACTTTAAAAAATTAACATATTGAGCAAAAATTATCATGATTTGAGAAGGAATAAAATATTAAAAGTAGTACTCTTATAAAATTTTTGATGAATATTGCAGTCAGTTCAGAGGAAAGAATGGTAGTATTTACTTTATTTCATATTTTTAAACTTTCATTTCACTCTTGTAATACATTATAAACTTCATTCAATATGATCATTTTGTGAAAGTTAATATTTTTCTACCCTGAAAATATATTTCTAATAGATACTTACCCCCACTCACAGTTGCAACTATTCTCGATTTGATTGCCCTCTAGTGGACAAATTTTTACTTCCCACTAGCCTTGAATAACAATTATGACAAGCTGTACTTTTACAAAATGATCATATTGAGTGAAGATTAGAAAATATTACAAGTTATACTTTCACAAGTGATCATAGTGAGTGAAAGTTAGAATGTACTACAATCTGTACTTTCACAAAATGACCTATTAATTAGAATATATTACAAGCTCTGCTTTCACAATATGATCATATTGGTTGAATGTATTATATATTACAAGATGTACTTTCACAAAATAATCATACTGATGAAAGCTAAAAAGTATTACAAGTGGTACTTTCAATACAATTACTTACCTCTTTTCACAGTTACAGCTATTCTCGATTTGACTGCCCTCTAGTGCTTACATACCTGAGGTGAGTGGTAGAGGACCCTCCTCCTGCCACAGGCCAGTCGAGTTTCTCCCGGGGGCCATTGGTCTGAACTGGAGTTGACCTCCATCTTACAGTCCAATGTGCCCTAGCCACTCTACACACATTCCTCTTTCTGTTGGATTTGGGATGGATCATTTGTTCCACCCTTTGATCGCAGCACAACAGTTGGCTCCACTTGAGTGAAGTGATATACCTGGTTCAAATGTGGTGTGGTCTCCCATGGGTGTGATTCCTTTACATAGAGTTAGCATAATTCCATGGGTACTCTTCAGATGCATTTGAAGGATGCTCATCCATGTAATTTTACATTGGTCCTTCAATCTGCTCATTGTGGGATTCTAGCTGTAACTGTGAGTGACAGTAAGTAATCGGATTGGAAGTTAATATTTACCTACACTGAAAATATATTTCCAATAGATACTTACTTCTCTCACACTTCCTACCCATCCTCCTCACTTCACGGGTTGTTTTTCATGCCTTATTTCAAAATGAAGATTTGGTTCAACTGCATAGAGGTAGTCAGGTGCGATAGGAGGGAATGTTGCACTCCTATTGGTGAAGGGTTGTCTTGTGCTTAAATGCAGCTGAACCATGTGGTATACACATAGAATTAGGTGGGAGTTCAAGGCTGGTGGTGAGTGAAAATAGGAACCAGAAGGGAAGAGGAGCCTCTATTTTGAGAACTTAATCCGAGAACTTAAACCAATGTGTGGCAATCCAACACAATCTGGAACAACACATTCAGGGAATGTACATCTGATTAATGTCAGGAAGGTGGAAATGCAACATGAAGGGTCAATTCCAGTCTAAAACAAAATGGCACTGGGGATGTAACATCCAGTCTGTGGTAGGAGGAAGTCCACAGCCCACAAACATGTGAGGACTTATGTTGGTTGATCCAGCTCCAACCAAAATCAGTCACCCAGGAACCAACATCCAGGTGATGGCAGGAAGGAGGGCTCCCAGCCAAAGGGCAAACTGCAAAATAGATGGAAAATTCCCATCCAGACTAGCAGCATCTAGAATAAAACTGCAGCAGGAGGCTAGTTGCACCTTCTACACAGGCAGAACACCACCATCCTACTCTTGACTGAGTGGAATTGTACACATTCTGGAGGATTTCTCCGTGATCCACCACCCCAGTAGCTAGGAGCAGGGAAAGGTAAGGTCTCCCATACTGCAAGACGGGAAAGGGGAAACACACTGGAGAGTCCGGAGGAATACATCACCAGAGAAAGTACAATGGGTGACCAAAGAACCCTATTCTGAAAAGCAGACCATTCCCGATTCTGGCAATCTAAGGAACATTAAAGATGAGCAGCAATCTCTTTCTGCTTTACTCATGTTAGTCCATGAGTGTATCGTCCAGTACAAACATATTTATGACACAATATACTGCGAGGAAGAACCTGCAAGTAGTCTTGTGGAACACCCTCCCCCCTTCTCAACAGTAAGCATGATAGACCTTATAGATCTAACAGAGCAGATATTGGACATCAGTATACCTAGACAGGTGCCACTCGCCACAGAGCAGTATCCATAAAATGTTAAGTAGGCCCTTAAAAAATAAATTAAACAAAAAGAACTTACACACTCAGAGTTGTACCAACATATGGAGAACAGCTACAGGGAGAAGTTGATATCCAGCTAAGCAGGAAACTACCAGATGGTGCAAGTAGTGGAAACTCAAGGCATGGGGAGTGGTCTATAAAATGATGGTAACTGTGCCCGCAAAAATGAAAGAATTGAGCAAACAACCAGACTACCCAATAGAAAGGATATGGTGTCGATATCAACCCAAAAGGAAGAGCTTGAAATTAATAAATGTGATCCTCATGGATGAAACATAGAAAATGACGTGAAGCTCAAGTAATAGGGATTTGAAGATAAGCATCGGACGCGTCGAATCTTGTCACCCAAAGCCCTGGAAGAAAGGCCCATCTGAGAGACAGATAAGATTCCAGGGTGAACTGAGGTATGTTGAGGAGGTGATTTAGATGGGAGTGATCATTCACAGGATGCCAATCCTATGTCTTCTTGGGTATAACAAAAAAATACTGCAAAAGAACTCTGGAAGCACAAACCTGATGAGAAGGACTTGAACTGCTTCTATGAGATGCTGGCAGGAAATGGAACCTTAAGGGGAGGAGGAGAAACTGGGATAGGGGATAAGGCAGCGGATGTAAAGAAAAGGAAGGAGAAGCCTTTTGACAAAACTCAAATGACCCAAGAATCAATGGTATAAATCTATCACACCTCTGAGAAAATAAGCGAACCTGACTCCCACAGAGGCTGAATCCATAGGGTAATGCTGACATCATAGAGGGCATTGATATACAATGGTATGACATGTAAACATGGCCCAGGAAGGAGGAACCAGTAAAGGAGCAGAAAAAGGAGGATGGGAAACAAGAACTGGAAGAGGAGGTTGAGAGAATGGAAAGTAAGTGAAGGTAGAGAAGTGTGCAATCTAGCATTTTCAATATGAGACTCCAAGGTGTCTGGGAGCCCATCAAAGATCGTAGATCTCAAAAAAGGGGCTGATCAAAGATCTTACAAGGAAATCGGGGGTGGGACGAGGAGATGCACATGTGTCAACAAGCCTCTCAACCTAAGAGATCTTAGCAACACAGGAGCAAAGTGTGTAGGGAAAGTGCAGACAAAGACAATATAGACAAGTTAGGGAGTAGCAAGGTACAGACTTCTGCTGAAAAAACCCTTGGGAGAATAATGGAAAGCTGTGGACAACAGGTGAATGGATGTCAAATGATGAAGAAGTGTTGTTGTCCATCGAGAAAGAATTTTCTGAATGATGATATACAAGTGCATGAGCCTCTGTAGTACATGGAGGGCACAGCATTCTAATCCCCACATGTAATTGATCTGTAAAAATCAGGTGAAGGGGGTAAATGAAAAACTCAGAACTAGGTGCTGCAGTTAATAAGGATTGGGAGGAATCAAATGACACAGGTGACAAATATAAAACACAACATATCTGTGATATCAAGTCTAAAAATGGTGACTAAGGTATAGGTGCTTCAACAGGCTAAAAACATACCAGTACAGCATAGGAATGGGGGAGGGTGTCCAAGTCCACATCATCCTGATCAAAGTCCCCCACATAATGGCAGAATTGCTTGTAGATTGGGAGATCCCTCGGCCCACGTGAAAGAAGCCATCTCCTGATGAACTAAACAACACTTCCTCTGCCAATAATGCCATGACTAAAGCCATTGTCACAGACTGTTGAATGCTGATACCGTCAGTAGCCGTTGTAGTCGCAATTAAGTATGCACGGGTAGTAAAATTTGGCCGAATACCGGGTCCAGGTACCTAGTCACTGAGATTCGGAAAGGGCCGGATTTCAACCAGGAAGGGTTGACCCTTGCCCCCCCAAAAAACACAATAAAATACACAAAAATTAGAAACAAAAACAAAATTGACGTTTATTATATTTAACTGAATAATCACCAACAGAACATTCAAGTTTTACTTTCAACTTTCAATGCATAGCCCCAACTTCTCACACCTTAACCCCTATTCTTCTCAAAACCTACATTCCCCAGAAATCCACTTCTCAAGCCATGCCTGTTATTATCCCCTATTGTTCTCTGAATCCCCGACTTTCATCGGGCAGTCAGTTTTTGTTGCTCAGAACATGTTTTCCTTTAACTAAATCAATTAACGACTGTACCTTTCAGTACCGTGTTAGTTGCCACAAAGATTAGGGCTTAGATGCCTAACTTCGACACTCGGCCAGAGCCGAGTATTACTAGGTAGCCCAATACCCGGCCGGATCTGAATATCTAGCCAGGTAACCGTGCATTCCTAGTCATAATAGTAAATTGGAAATTCAAAAATATTGACTGACAACCGGTAATTGAGTGAGAAATAGAATTCACAATGAAATGCAAAAATTCAACTTGATAGTGGATTATAAACAATACATTGAAATGTGAAAATCAGCAACTGAATATTTTCCAAATGCAAAAAAGAAAGAAAAATGTCTGAAATCATGCACTAACTCTTAACACTGTCATGACAAATCAAGAAGTGAAGATTGGGTTTAACTGCATAGAGGTAGTCATCTGCAATAGGAGGGTGTGTAGTACTCTTATTGGTGGAGGATTGTTGCATGCTAATTTGCATGCTTAAATGCAGCTGAATTACATGAAATTAGGTGGGAGTTCAATGCTAGTGGGGAGTGAAACTTTGCGCACTAGAATCAAATCGAGAATAGCTGTAACTGTGAAAAGAGATAAGTAATCATATTGAAAGTACTACTCGTAATACTTTTAAGCCTTCATCAATATGATTATTTTGTGAAAGTACACTTTTTTAATACTTTCTAATCTTCCCTTAATATGATCAGTTTGTGAAAGTACACTTTTTAGTACTTTCTAATCTTCCCTTAATATGATCAGTTTGTGAAAGTACACTTTTTAGTACTTTCTAATCTTCCCTTAATATGATCAGTTTGTGAGTGAAGATTAGAAAGTATTACAAGCTGTACTTTCACAAAATGATCATATTGAGTGAAGGTTAGAAAAGTATTACAAGCTATTCTTTCACAAAAGGGTCATATTGGTAGAAAGGGTTGGAAAGCTGTTCCTTCACAATATGATCATATTTGTTGAATGTATTAGAAACTACTACAAGCTTTACTTTCATAAAATGATTATAATAAGTGAAGAATAATATTAAAAGCTGTACCTTCACAAACTGATCATATTAAGGGAAGATTAGAAAGTATTAAAAAAGTGTACCTTCACAAACTGATCATATTAAGGGAAGATTAGAAAGTACTAAAAAGTGTACTTTAATAAAAATAGCAATATTTATAGGTTAATACTAATGCAAGCTGTAATATTTTATTGCACAAATTGTAATTTATTAACCTTTTATATAAAGTGATTTTTTTTTATAAATAGCTATGTCATGATTAGTTTCTATAAGAGGTGTAAAAATTCCTGCAGTTTTTTCACTCAATTTCCAACACATTTATGAAATAATTATATTTCTTTAATTATCAGATTTTCTGACTTTATGCTAATTTTCAGTCAAGTTTTTTTTAATGTGTACTTCAAACTTAGTATTTTTCCTCATGAAACATTATTGTAATGAGTGAAAGTCAGAAAGTGTTACAAGCTGTACTGTCACAAAATCATTATAATGGGTTTACTTTGAAACACAAAAAATTAAAACATCCTCAACTTATAAAAACAAACAGGAAAATACAGGAAACTTATAAAAACAAACAGGAAAATACAGGATACTTATAAAAACAAACAGGAAAATATAAGCAACAAGGCTTAATAGGTGGTATGAAACAACCATATATGAGTATTACACATTTATGTGCCACAAAAAAGTTATGACTTTTCTGTTTTGTTGCTTTTCAAGAAGAAAAATGTTAATATTAATTTACTAACCTGGACAGAAATAGGAAAATCAAACCTCCCCCATGGATCTTGGAAGTCAAATGTTTCAGTATGGAAGACAGGGGCAAAGTTTCCAGGCTTGTGTGACCCAAGCTCAACAACATGTACCTGATTAATATATATATATATATATATATATATATAT